ATTATTATTATTATTATTATTATTATTATTATTATTATTATTATTATTATTATTATTATTATTATTATTATTATTATTATTATTATTATTATTATTATTATTATTATTATTATTATTATTATTAATATTGTCAATTATTATTATTATTATTATTATTATTATTTTACTATTGTTATTACTATATACAATGTATATATATATATATATATATAATATATATATGTATATATATAATATTTTATTGATTTCGTTTATTAGCAAACAATGGGTGAAAGAAAGAATTATTGAAGATTCTGAAAAAAATGTGTTGAACATGGCCTAGAAAAACCATTTCTGTTTGCGTTCATAGTTGGGAATTGAAATCGCATGAACTTAATGGCTGAGTTAGAAAGATTGTAAACTAACTAATCCCTTCTACAGTATATGTTACAATTAATCCGTAAGATCCGGTAAGAATACATTATACATTAAGTAGAATGGATTTGAAAATTTTCGTTCACAGCTTTTGAAACTGAATTCTAAAATAGTTTTTATATTTGTCCCTAAATTCGTTAGGACCGCTAATTTTTAAACTAATTTGCAAAAGCTTGGTGACAAAATAGGTTTCTATCAATTCCTAACTGCAGCTAAACTCCTCAACCATATGTGATTATGATTATTTCGTAAATTTCATCTAATACAGTTGAAGTTAATTAAAATTTAGTCACACCACTAACATTTATTTAGTCAAGGTTAATTTTCAAACCTTCTTTTTCCATCATTTTGTTTTTTTTTTATGATTAAAAAAATTAGAAACGACAAAACGACAACAAAAAGAGGGAAGAATGATGAATATGTTACATGCCAATCATTCTGGAAATAAAAAAAATAAATTCAGTAATTTCACAACAAAAAAATATCAACAAACTCATGGCATATCGATGGCCTTTTATGCATCAGATAAATTATAATTTATAACGAAAGAGAAAAGTTAAAATTGGAATGGAAAAAATGAAATGACACAAAATATTAAAAACTTTTGTTTTTTTTTCAGTTCTGCAAAATTTTTTTCCAGCCAAACCCTTCATTTCTTTTTTTATTCCTTTAAATATTTGAAATTTAACTTCCTCAATCAGCAATGATGAAATGAATGGATTTAGAAAGAAATGAGTACTTTTAATACTTTCCGTCCAATTCCACCACAATTATATAAATTATAAATTTTGGAACTTTCACAATTTGTTTCCCATACAAATGCTTTTGTTTAGCTTTTAGCAGAGAGAATAAAAAAAAGTCATTTATAGAATGCATTTTCTATTACAAAAATTGTTTTTTGGTGCAATGCAGAATTTTTGAAACAGCACAAATTTAATAAAAAATGAAAGGAAAGTTGAAAAAAAGCCGAGAAGTTTGTAATTAAAAAAGATTTAAATGTCAAAAATTTCAAAAAAAAAGAAAATTTGCTTTTCAAACTGCTTGCTCGATATAATTGCATGAGAGATATTGCAAAGTATACGAGCTTCCCTATGTGAAATTGATGATGTCAATCATTTTGGCAGTTTTAATTGAATACAGTGATAATTAAGCTGCTGACAATTTCAAAAAAAAAATATGGTGATTGAGATATTAATGATGATGTGATGATAATAATGATGGCCAAATGAATGTCCTTGGGTCAAAAATTTAGCATAATCAATAATTGCTTTTGCTTTTGACATTACTCAATTAATGCATTTGGAGCAAATAATTACATATATCATGGTCAACGGTTTCAATTTTTGATTATAATGCGCATTTTCAATATTAAAAAGAAATATTGAAAAAAAACTGAATATAATATAAATTTTATATAAATTTACGAACTGAAAAAAAACTGATGGCTTGAAAAATTCTATGTGAGTAAATCTAATTTCTTGTCTTGGACTTATCAAAATTTTTTTATTAACTTTTTCTTTCTATATGATGCGATCTATTTCAAAATGATCTGATTTGAAAGGAAAATGTATATTTTGAAAGCGTGTGTATTTCGAAATGAAGGAAATAACGGAATATGAAGCCTATTTCTTTTTCTTTAACAACCATTTTTCATTTTGAAAAATGTATACTTTAAAACGAGGAAATGACGAAGCACGAAATTTTTCCATATCTTCCATCCATTTTAAATATAAATAAATAAATATAAATATATGTATATATATGAAGATTTTCATACTTTAATTGCAATGAATAATAAAAGTTATATTTATTTATTTGTATTTGGAATACCAGATATAACTCACTATTTCATATACAATAATAGGTATAATAGGTATTCCATTTCTCTTTCTCGATAAATTTTCAAATTTTGTTCCCTTTTACATGTTTAAATATTGTTTTTTTGATTGTTTGATGAAGTGATTAGTTGGCGCATTCAGTTTTAGAAATTTATTTCGTATCTTAAGAGTCATTTCCAATGGAATATCATATTACTCAAATAATGGAAATAATGGAAGTGTTGTTTTCCATGTTTGGTAAATTTTAAGAATTTTTGATCAAACTTTCTAAATTCCGAAATTTTTTCCAGCTTTTTAGTGCAGTTCGACTGCATTTGTTTAAGCAACTTAATTAATCATATTGGCAGTTTGTTTAGATTTTATAGGAATAACTTATGAAACTAGTATATGTTTCTTTGAATTTATATTTCTCATTAGGGCTAGCAAAATTGAAAAAAGAAAAAATTAGTAACTTAAAGTATCTGAAATGTTAAGCAATGAAGTAAGCGGGCAATATTTGGAAATAGAAAAACAAATAAAGAATGGGAATTGATTAAATCTTTTTTAATAATTGCATTTTAAGAGGGAAAGCGAGATAGAACGAGAGGGGTGAGTGACAGGGAGAGATTTTTATAATCCAGCGAAATAATATCGTTTTTTTACTGCCCCATGCTAAAACTGGTTAAATTTTAAATGTATGCATTTTTTGATATTTTAGAAACTATAAAAAAATTGAATTAGATGAAAAGGAAGGAAATGAAATTTTTGAAAATGTTCGAAATGAAAAGATTTTCCCACTTCAATTGCAATGAATAATAAAAATTATTGTTCTAAAATCAATCTAATTTGAACAAGAAATTCGCTTTTTCAACATAAATTGATTTGAGATTTTTTAAAAAAAGGATTTTTTTAAGATTTTCCAAACATAAATTAAATTTGATTTAAAAGAAAAGAATTTTTTTAAACATAATATGTTATCAATAAATTTTTTGTAGTTATTTTAAATAAAGTAAATTTTATGTGAGTACTAACAAAAGGAAATTTTCTTCAAATAATAGTATTATTTGAGACAAATTTGTTGCATTATCCTATCACATATTTCCGGTAATTTGTTGAAATTAGCATAAGATTACTGATTAATTAAAATTTCTCCATCTTTGGATAGGAAAGAAAAAAGTGAATTGGATTTGGATGGCAGATAGCAATGAGTTAGAATGAATAATGAAAGTAATTGTATTTTCGTTTCCGTTTCTTTCTTTTTTTTTTTTGAATGGAAAAAGTGACAAAGTTTTATTGTAAGCGTCTTAAACCTTTTTGCTACTTTTATTCCCCCCATTCTCCCCAACCCTCCCCTCCGTTCTCATCAATGTTTTGTTCGTTCTGTTAAAAAACTTTAGCAAAAAGAAAAAATATTTTTTTAATTCGTTTATTGTCCGTTGAGTCCTTGAAAAAGATAGCAATGTTGAAAGATGGCAACATTGATTGAATGAGCAAAGGAAAATATATGTAGTGAAAATAGCAATGAGCAAAGTGAAAATATATATGTGTATAGAAGTTTATCTATTGTTTTGACGAAAAAAAGCATCAATTTTTTTATTTGGTTCATCGCTTATTTTAATAAGGAAAGAAATGTTTGTTTTGATTAAGGAAAAGAGAAAATTTTATATCAAATACTTTATATATTGGAATAAGCAAAAAATAAATATAAAAATCGGTGCAACGTTCAACATTTAATTTTAATTTTTTGCTTTAAATAATTTGATTTTTTCTTGTTTGACCATTAAAATCAAACTTTTTTGTCATCTTTGTTTCCTTCAAACCCGTAATAATATCACAAATGATATTTGGAAAGGAAAGCTTTAATTTCTAATTGTTGTCTTTAGCAACACTAATTATCAACTTTTTTTCACTATTGTTATTTTATATTGAGTATATTATTTATTAATGGTACACCAATGTTAAACAAGAATTTATGATGCAGCAATGATTTACCAGAAAAATTTCTAAATTTTACTAATTGTTTGGCTAATCTGCCCAATTCGTTGGAGCAAAATTCTGATATTTGAAATTAAGGATGAGTGAATAGTTATATTATCCTTAGTTGCACTCATTTCGGAACTTATTGCTTAATGTATTTTTTCTTTTGCTGTTTAACTGATTATTAATTTTCCAAATAATTCTTTTCAATCTCTTAATAGAGTAAAGAAAACTTGATTTATTCGTTCAAGATCATTGAATTTGCAATGATAGGTAGAGTTAAATTATTAATGGAAAGTAATTTTAAAACAAATTTTTACTAAAATAAAGATTTAATATTAAAAAGTTTTATTCTCCCATGATAAGAATATAATCGCTGGTAAAATATTATTAACTATTATAATCAGAAACTATTCTCATAAATTTTTTGAAATACTGCTAACAAGACAATTTATGCAGCAGCTCTAATGAAGTTATAGCAAAATTTTCAATGTAAAATTGAAAATTAAATAATTATAACGACGATTAAATGGGGCTACAATCTATTGTAGTAATTAATCAACAAATTAAATCAAATTTTAATCAATCATTTGATTTAATTGAATTAAACTTTAATCAGCTGAACTATTTAGTATTTACCGCAGCTATAAATAATCGTTCAAGTGTCCAATAAATAATTAAATCTAAGAACTGCAAAACTTTTTTTTTCAAAAATTTTGTAAATTACTAGTGAAATAAGTTAACAAATGATGTGCTTAATAAGCAGACAAAAAACAAAGAAAACAAACGGAGGATATTAATTAAACTGAAAATTTTCGTAAAAAAATGAAAGGAAATCCTTTTCTTTCTCATCTTATCTATTACAAATGACATTCAATAAATTATGTTTAACATTATGCAATAAGACGATTGAAAAAAAAAATTCCTTCTTCCATAAATATTCATTGGGCCATAAAGTATGCAAGCAAAATTGCCATATGTAACTAACCGAATCATTTCTTGGCCATAAAGTGCAAAAGGAAAATTGCAGCATGTGCCAATTGAATCATTCCTTGACCGTAAAGAACATATGCAAAATTCTTATTTTTGCATTCAACTATTTCTTATGTTAGAAAGGGACGAAATTAATGAGCGGCAAATAAAATTGAAATGGAAGATTTTGTTAAAATCATCATTCACCGTAACTGTGGTTGATCACGATGAAAAATGATGAATGATAACGATGATGATGATGATTGATGGCGGATGATGATGATTGATGGCTGATGATGATGATTGATGATGGTTGACTGATTGATGATGATAATGATGATGAAATTAATGACGGTGATAACTGATTGATTGATTGATTGATGATTATAATGATGATGATTCACTTATCCACTTGTACTTTCATAGAATCATTTGTTTCGTCTTTTTGTAACCTACTTTTCAGTGAAAAATTGCATTCATTTTTACGGCATTTCCCTCTTTTTTCGAACTTCCTTATTTACTCATTTATTGCTTTATTTGATTTCCTTGTTTAACTTTTTTTCCTCCGTTTATTCGTACAAATAACAATAGAAATATTAATGTACATTACATCCTAATAAGATACATCAGTTGTGAGCGCTTTTTTTTATTGCTGTAAAGACAGAGAGAGAGAGAGGCAAAGATGAAAAAAGAGATTAAAACTGCAAGCTATTATTCATTACTTTAGTATATTTTCATGCACAGTAAATTTATGCAAAATATTTCTGTCATTAATGTTTACGAGTAACTTTCGATGAATAATGTAATTTATGCAAGTGTTTTAAAAGACATCAGTAATAATTAACAATAATTTAATCAATAAACAATAATTAACAATAATAATAATTAATAATGATGATGATAATGATATTTAATAATAATAATAATAATAATAATAATAATAATAATAATAATAATAATAATAATAACACAAGGCTGAGAAAAACATGTAAACAGGAAAATAATTATTATATATTACAAAATTTGATAAAAAAACCAAGTATGGAACAAATTCATTTGTTTGCTTTGATTTCAATCCCCATACAAAATTCATAGTTTAAAAAATTTTCCATATTACTTTTGCTGATGTAACGAATTTGGAAAAAAAAGAGGCGATAATGTGATCATACATTCAGAAAAAAATCGTAATTTTTTTTTGAGAAAAAGTAGTAGTATAAATTGATGCAAAGAATTGAGGCAATGTGTATTTTTGACTAGATATTTACTCACTTCTGTTTGCTGGGAAATTTCGAATCCAACCGAAAATGACTAAATAAATGGTTGACAAGTAAAATTGTGAGACTGTGATCGTTGAACGACAACTGAGTGGTGCTTTCTACGTTGAGTGACGATGGCTGGCTGATTTTTCATCGAATAGATAACCCATCACCCATCACAGACTACTAATTGCTAACCAACCGATCATCCATCGACCGGTTTATAACTTTTCCCAAAATAATAGAATAAAAAGATATTAGAATATAATAATCTCAACTTTTTTCCTTCCTTTTTCTCCCGAATAGAAAAAAGAGATACAAAACAATATTATTCAGATCGTGATAATAATAAAGATAATGAAACTATATGTGATAAGGATAGTAAACTATGTGGTGAATAATCAGTGGAACATGATAACAGCTACAAAACAATCACGATAATGATTACAACGGTCACGAAAATTGATACTATGGAGATGATAAAAATGATGAAATCATGATGTGATAACGATTGTAAATATGTGATGAATAAAGAACGATAAGGATAATAATTACAATTATATCACTACGACTACGATAACCATGATAATGGTCACAGCAGTAATATAGTGGTAATGGTGATTATTACCATTAAATTGTGGAAATGACAATAATAACTAATATGACAATGGTAATGAAGTATGTGATAAAAATTTACTCCAAATATCGATTAATGCCGTAATTTCAATTGACGACACAACTGATAAAACAATTTCGTTTTTATAAGCCAATTAGAAATTTAATAAAGCTTTTTTCAAGGCAATGAAATAATCTTTCAAGCAATATTCTTTGAAAAATGAAACACAAATGCATAAAAACTTTGATGCGAGAGGAACTGATGGTGAATGAATGCCACTAACTTGTCTAACGTGTGTTCGTTGGGCAATCAGCCTTATCAGAATGAAAAATGAAGAATATATTTAAAACATCACACACTTTCTGAAAAAAAACAAAAAACTTTTAATCTGGCAACAATGAACATTTTCGAAGATAAAACTATTAATAAAATGATAATAACAATTCACTGATGGTTATAATAATAACAATAACAATGGTATCAATAATAATGATGATAGTGATGATTAACAGTTACTCGTTACCACAATAATATATCAGGTTAATTTTTTGTTGTAGTTTTAGAAAAACCAAACTTCCACTGCAAACATTTTGCTTCTTCACTCACTTGTATATGCAAATTTGAAATGCTTAATATTTACGTGAAATGAAATCTGCATATTACAGGAAGATGATATAAAGGTGCAAGATGAGACGTATTTGTTTTCTCGAAAATACGAAGTGGTGGTTGAGCATTCGAAGTGGTGGTTTTTACCAGTATGGAAACGGCGGAAGATGTGGTTGATGAACTGCTAGATTTGGCAGAAGCTTCGTCGATGAATCCAGTGGAAGAATTTCTCAATGATTTAGTACAAGCACCACCCAAAGATATGGTGGAAGAATCGCTTGAGGATTTGTTAGAAATACCATCCAAAAATAAGATAGAGGAGATTTTAGACGATCTGATAGAAGCAACATGCAAGGATGAAGTGGAAGAATTGCTGAACGATATAGCAAAAACATCATCTGAAAAGGGATTTGAAGAGAAGGATCTGACTGATGCATCTACTGAAGATACGGTGAATCAACTACTAGCGGCTTTAGAGGAAGCATCATCCAGGGACAGAGCGGATCAACAACTACTGAAGGATTTAGTACGAGTGATGATCAACGGTCCCATAGAAGAAATATTAAACGAAATGTCCAAAAAACCATCATTCAAAGATTCCAGCGAAATATCATTCAAGAATCCACTGGAAGGATCGCCAGAAAATTTGGTGAAGGAAAAACCATCTGAAGCACTGATCACAGAATTATTCAAGGACTCAATAAAACAATCCGAAGAACTCATCCCAAACGACCCCGACCTAATCGCTAAGCCTCACTTCCTACCAAAGAATTTTTATGAGGAAGATGCAACTGTCTTTCATGCGGTCCGTTATAAACAGTTCCGGTATTGGGAATAAAATGTAACCTACGTCTTTTTTTGTGGTTTTTGCCTTCTTGATCTGGTCACGATTCTTTTTTTTATTATGCATTAACCTTTTAATCTGGCCTTTAATAGTAGGAAAGTCTTTTCATATGTCTTCTTACAATATCCAATGGTCATTTAGGTTTGTAGTCTCTGAGGTTCCATCGATCCCTGAAGTTGCACAGGTTTTTGAAAGTCTGATTAATTCTTCAAGCTCTACAAGTTTCTGTGGCCTGATCGATTTGAAGAGACCTTTCCCTTCTCGAAGTCCGATAAACCTTTGAAATTTATAGTAAGTTTCTTTCGACGAAGAGATCCTCCCACTTTTTGAAATATATTAATACTTATTTCTCGTCTCTCATATTTGGATCTCTACCACACTTCTATCTCCACCTACCTTTCTTGGCAAACTTAATGAAATGAGATGGCCTTCTAGGATTTTGTTTGACAGGCAAGCTTTCCTGGCCATTTTCGAGTGATAAACAAGGGTAATGATGTAGCCGTTTAAATGACTTCCGGAAATTTGATATTAGTATATCTTAAAAAAGTAAAAAGAAACTCAAAGCGTAGGTGCGTAGTAGATAAGGTAGGAGAGAGTTAATACAGTTAATAGCAGTATGTCGAATTTTCCCTGTCTAATATATGTGGGCTGAACGTGAACACATTGTGAAAACGCTATTTCGTTTTTTGAGCTATATGAAAATGAATTTACGGCAATTGATTCGTTTCAGGAAAAGGTTTATTCAATGTGCACTGCCGTAGAGAAAGGCGTTATTTATCGAAGGAATGATCCAGGAACAACCAGAGAAGAGTGGTGTAACTGGCCAGATATGCCGTTTGAAGAGGTTTGTGTAGTATTGTTCGTCCAATTTCAATATAATTACTTCGGATATATATATATATATATATATATATATATATATATATATATATATATATATATATATATATATATATATATATATATATATATATATATTATTAT